TTCATAAGCGTATATATGTGTGTGCAAGTATTCTTCATAAGCGTATTTGTATCGTACTTCATACGTGTGTCTATATACGGGAACATCCCTAGGTGATCAGCAGGCAAACGGACTTGCTTCCGACCTAGGAGTTCCCATGTGTGACATCTCCTACGCATTTGATTCCCATTAGCTTGTAGAAAATCAGTGTCTCTGAGTTAGAAGTTGATTGACATGTTCCCTAAAGTTTGATGTTACTGTTGAAAACGAAGCTTTATCTGTCCTCTGCCCTTGCGTATGCCTTCAGTTGGTCCTGAAGGGTTTCTCTAGCAAGTGGACATAGGCACTCACTAGGGGATGAGACAGAGAGGTGAGGTGATGAGAGAAATTGGTGCAAATCAGGGGGCCCACTTGCTATTCATTTCTCTCTCTCTCTTGTCCACTAACGAGTGCCCGTGGGTGCTCGTTGGACAAACCATACTCGGAATACCTATATTATACTGTTTCCAGCTAAAGCATGTCACGCACCGAAGTTAGATATACCTGAAATAACAACAATCTTTTGTATTATGTTTAAGTAAGATAGTGGGTGCTGTTGTGCGCGGCGCGGAAGCGAGACAACCAAACGGGCATGCTTCGAGAACCAAATCAAACAAACGTCGAGATAAAGACCAAACAAATCAAAACAACGGCACAAATCCAAACAACGGCACAAATCCAAACACAATAGTTTTACGTGGTTCGGCTAATTGCCTACGTCCACGGGACAAGAAGGAGATTGGGTTTTCACTAATAGAGAAGAAGTGTACAAACTGAGATTACAAAACACTCGAAGGAACAAACTAATCTCACCAACAAATCTCTTAATCTCTTCAAATAAACCCCCAAATAATTGCTCAGATAAACTCTTCTTTTTCTGTGCTCCAAATATCCCCAAACCAATCTCCAATCAAAGCCAAAAAAACCCTAATTCGTATGTTGGTAATTATAGCAAACACCAAACCCAATAAGAACAAGAAACCAAAACTACGCTTTGACCCGATTGGCGGTCGACCGCCCAAAGCTCGCGGTCAACCGCGATCTAGCGACATAGACCAAATTCGCCTACAGGGTCTGGCGGTCGACCGTGGCGGTCGACCGCAATGAATCCAAAATCACACCCTAAGCCTGTGCATGTTCGCGATCGACCGGCCTTGCGCTGCGGTCAACCGCGCAGCTTCCAAACAGTTCCCCTGCGCTTCCAAAACCTGTTCTTCACCAAATTTCTCGCCGATTCTACAATTCTCCACCTCGACGAAGTTTCTTTCAAAAACTGAGCCGACACCGACCAAACCAAATGCCTCACTTGTTGTGTCCAGTACACCATGGCAACGGACTCATGACAACGAACTCCATCCACAACAAATCGAGACCCAAACGGGAGTGCGAACACTCACCCAAACGTCGGTATCTACTCACACCAAATCGGCTGCATCAAAAACTAACTGCCTACGTATCCTCTTGCCCAAGGAATCAAGCCTTCACGTAGTTCACCTAAACGGCCTCCAAAGGCCCTCAATCAAATAGAAAAGTCTGCAACTCTTCACCAATATCATCTGTATCCAAATCCAAATGATCCACAATCTGTGTCACCTCAGCTGGAATCCCAAACGATATAGTATGATCTGGAGTATGTGGAGTAAACTCCACCCAACGTGGAGTAGCATCACCCTCCACCTGCTGCGATATCCAAACGATCTGATCAACACTCTCTACCAACCGAGAGTCCAAAGTGACGTACCTTCTTAGAACAAACTCAGAAGCTCCCAACCGATAATCAAATAAGCCTCTGAATCCTAAACACGCAATCGAACAAATCTCACATCCTCGATGTGACCAAATGCTGGGTAACCAAATATCCGACGCTAATCAAAATCTGAAGCAGCTTTACCAGATCCAATAACTCCTAATGCAGCAGTCGGCGACCTATGCATAAGATGACCCAAACATATCGAAGCCCGCACACCAATGCCAATGCTCGACATCAAACGCCGATCCCCCTTTAGAAAGGAACGACTGATACGGATGTATCTTCTCTTCGGAAAAGCAATCCTCATTAGAGCTTGAGGATAGGTGATTCTCATGATATCTTGAGAATAGTGATGTGAAGCGACACGACGGAGCACAGGTGGAAGCATGAAACGAGATGGCAAGCAGCAGATTCGAAGAATCCAGATTTTAGCTCGTGAGTCGACTCATACATGTACATGAGTCGACTCATCAGGTTGAGTCGACTCATGCCTGTCATGAGTCGACTCACGAAACCCAGTCATTTTGTCAAAAGTTTCTGCTCGGTTGACTCATTAGTTTTTGAGTCGACTCATCAGTCATGAGTCGACTCATCGAGGTTTCCTGAGCAGACTTGGTTTCTGTTTTGAAGGAATTCTAGTTGGGTTTGGTTTTGGTTATTTACCAGATTGTCACCATGTTGTAAACCCTATAAATAGGGACTGTTTAGGGTTCTAAACAGAGAGGGTGAGAGACCAATATGTAGATCTAAAGGGTTTTAAGTCTAAGTGAGATCCTGATCAAAAGGATTAGGGTTTAGATTGTGAAGATCTATGAGATCTTAGAATCAGAGGTAATTAAGAGAGATTCTAATCATTGTATTAGGGTTTAGAGATGATTGAGAGGTTATTCTCGATTCTAGTGAGATTATGAGGGAGAGATTTGTAATAATTGATTCTTCATAATCTAGAGAAGATATTTTCCTTCGCCATATTGAATTGTTCTTGTGTTTTAGTTGTCTTCTTCTCAACCCACCTTTTGGTAATTCCGCGACCAAAGGGTGCTCGTACAGCGACTCGTATCAAGTTGGTATCAGAGCAATCAGATCCTGTGAAGGGAGCATCCCGTGTATGGTCCTTACTCGATCACAGTACAAAAAGCTTAGTGAGATCCTTTTCTTTGGAAGGAGTTTAAAGATTAAGGAAGAAGAAGATGACTGAATTCAACAAAGATGGAGGGGCTCGAGAGTTTCCTTAGCTGAAGTTCTAACTTGAATGGGACTTCAAGTTTCTAAAGGGGAGACCCATGATACGGGTGTATCTTTTCTTCGGAAAAGCGATCCTCATTAGAGCTTGAGGATAGGTGATTCTCATGATATCTTGAGAATAGTGGTGTGAAGGGACACGGCGAAGCACAGGTGGAAGCATGGAATGAGACGACGAGCAGCAGATTCGAAGAATCCAGATTTCAGCTCGTGAGTCAACTCATATATGTACATGAGTCGACTCATCAAGTTGAGTCGACTCATGCCTGTCATGAGTCGACTCACGAAACCCAGCCGTTTTGTCAAAAGCTTCTGCTCGGTCGACTCATCAGTTTATGAGTCGACTCATCAGTTTATGAGTCGACTCATCAGTCATGAGTCGATTCATCAGTCATGAGTCGACTCATCGAGGTTTCCTGGGCAGACTTGGTTTCTGTTTTGAAGGAATTCTAGTTGGGTTTGGTTTTGGTTATTTACCAGATTGTCACCACGTTGTAAACCCTATAAATAGGGACTGTTTAGGGTTCTAAACAAAGAGGGTGAGAGGCCAAGATGTAGACCTAAATGGTTTTAGGTCTAAGTGAAATCCTGATCAAAAGGATTAGGGTTTAGATTGTGAAGATCTATGAGATCTTAGAATCAGAGGTAATTAAGAGAGATTCTAATCATTGTTTAAGGTTTAGAGAGGATTAAGATGTTGTTCTCAATTCTAGTGAGATTGTGAGGGAGAGATTTGTAATAATTGATTCTTCATAATCTAGAGAAGGTATTTTCCTTCGCCATACTGAATTGTTCTTGTGTTTTAATTGTCTTCTTCTCAATCCACCTTTTGGTAATTCCACGACCAAAGGGTGCTCGCACGGCGACTCCTATCAATGAGCCATCGAAACTGTCATCTCATATCATCGCCCCAATGTTTCCTCTCCAATGAAGTGCCTTAAACTGTCATGAGCTCGGCACAAATACAGTAGGTCCCTCTTGTACCTCCTTCTACAACCAGAATGAAATACCTTCACCTTACTCCCAATACACTTCTTCAACTGTTGTTGACTACTAGGACTTTAAAACCAACGGAACTTGGTTGCAACCCATAAATGTCTAGTACAATCCCCAACATAGGAAACCAAAATACCAATTTACCTTCCAATGATGCCTCCTTGGAAGGCCCCTAAATGCCTGAATGAACACCAAATAGAAGACTTCTCAATCATCGAATAGAAATGCCAAACTCCACCTCGGTCTCCTTGCTCATACCAACGTGCTCAAAGGACTTCAATACACAGGTCAATGGCACTTCTTGATAGTCCAATGCACCGTATCAATAAACAAATAACCCAACCTCAAATCTTTCTATCTCAGCCAACTATTTCAAAGCACCAACAAATGGAGAATAGATCCAAACTGATAAAGGAGAGAATTTTACCTCCAAATGAAACTCTAACAAGAGTCTCCAAACGATCTCACCCCGCACGACGGAAACGAGATCCACGAATAGGAAAAATCTCACATTTATCTCCAAACGAAGCCCTCGAAGAGCCTCCAAAGCGATCTACTCCTCCAAATAGCCCAAGCGCCAACAAACCAATGCGGAACAAATGAAGAATAGATCCAAACTGAAAAAGATAGAGTCTTTACCAAAAAGATCTCACCTTTCTCACCAAACGAAGCTCTAGCCGAACTTCCAAATTGATCTACTCCTCCAACCAAGACAAAACCCTAGATCTAAAATATAGAGCTCTGATACCAATTGTTGTGCGCGGTGCGGAAGCGGGACAACTAAATGGGCGTGCTTCGAGAACCAAATCAAACAAACGTCAAGATAAAGGCCAAACAAATCAAAACAACGGCACAAATCTAAACACAATAGTTTTACGTGGTTCGGCAAATTGCCTATGTCCACGGGACAAGAAGGGGATTGGGTTTTCACTAATAGAGAAGAAGAGTACAAACTGAGATTACAAATAACTCGAAGGAACAAACAAATCTCACCAACAAATCTCTTAATCTCTCCAAATAAACCCTCAAACAATTGCTCAGAAAAACTCTCCTTTTTCTGTGCTCCAAATATGCCCAAACCAATCTCCAATCAAAGACAAAGAAACGCTAATTCGTATGTTGGTATTTATAGCAAACACCAAACCCAATAAGAACAGGAAACCAAAACTGGACTTTGACCCGATTGGCGGTCGACCGCGATCCAGCGACAAAGACCAAATTCGCCTACAGGGTCTGGCGGGCGGCCGTGGCGATCGACCGCAACGAATCCAAAATCACACCCTGAGCCTGTGCACGTTTGCGGTCGACCGGCCTTGCGCCACGGTCGACCACGCAGCTTCCAAACAGTTCCCCTGCGCTTCCAAAACCTGTTCTTCACCAAATTTCTCACCGATTCTACAGGTGCAATTTCAGCACTCTCTTAATTTATTCTGCGCTTAATTAATACTGCTGGTTAACGGGAAATCTCAACTGCTAGCAATTCTCAAAAAAGGAAATAGGCAAGTATATGAAAATACTCGGTGAAGCATTGAAACTTTGCCAACCCATCAACAGCAACTCGATATCTGTTCACAGGCCTAGGTTTTGTACTCTCCTCCAGCTCAACAAATCTGCCCAGGTATCTTCATTTATCGAAACTACTAACATAAACTATGACCATATGAATCACTGAGCTTTTCAATGTTATTCTCAGGAGCTTGCAGCCCATATTGGAGAAGTTGTCATCAACAAATGCTTCTGTACAAGAAGAAACCCCATCAGCATCTCCGCTGCTGATATTTACCTAGCTTGCCAACTCGAAGACAAGCGAAAAACTCAAGCTGAAATCTGCAAGGTAACAGGTCTCACTGAGGTCACTCTTTGTAAAGTGTACAAAGAACTCCAGCAGTGCCCCCCTTAGAAAGCTTTTCCTAAGGCTTTAATAACTTCTGGCCGATCATCAACTCCTAAAGTTGAAGCTTCTGAAGATAAGCCTCCAAGAGTTTTAAAAAACCTGAGGTTAGGGAAGAAGATGACTGTTCTTTGGCATTGTTGTATACTCGTGATTTGAATACGGCAGCATTTTGGCAGAAAGATGAGGCCAAGGATGTGCATTTTTCTGAGTTTGATCAGAAGGTCAATACAGACTCGATACTTGATAGTAGCACAAGATGGATGAGGCAAACGACGTGTACATCATCATCTCAAGGATACAATTCTTGGCAATTTAATCGTACCTGGATCTTCCAATGCTCGGTCTGGAAAGCCTCAAAAATGGTTAGGAAACAAGACTGGAAGTGGGAGTGCTGATGGTTGATGCTGTTGAATGTAATGAAATAGTTGACTGCAATTTATAGTCACTGTTCTTTGAGCGGTATATATTTGTAATCTGGAATTACTATGGCAAGCACATAATTTATACTGTTTCTTGCGCAGTATAGTGTGTATTGTGCCGGTCTACTGTATTGAAGAATGACAAATTACTTAAACTGCATGTTGCTATGTTTAAAAGATGGGGTTCTATTGAAGAATGACAAATTACTTAAATTGCACAAAAGATGGATTTCTATTTAGTTGCAGCACTACCAATGTTAGGACCGGTTGATTTGAAAAGAGATAATTTGGGTACTTATCAGGATGCATCTGTTATTTGCAGCTTCCTCTGGCATTTATAAAATTTATAATTGCAGAAAAAAGAAAGACGTGTTTTTCTCAAGTGACTAAAGCAAAACTTGAATTTTGCAAAATTTATTGCATGCATCGAGTTACCCCATATTACTAATATTATATCGCAACATTTGAACATTGACAATTGATTTTAGATTGTAATATTCGGGTAATGAATGAAATAGCAGATATCAGCCTTTCATGTATGTTGCTCAAAGATGCTATCCGTATCTATGTCAGCCCCATATTCTTCGATCTTGGAACATGACAGACACCAGAAGAGACACGGGCAACTTGTTAAGAACAGAAAAATAGCAAGTCAACTATCATAAGAAGCTTATTCGTTTTTCCACATTGCAGATGGAATGCAATTGATCAATTGATGATATCCATAACTAAGTTACACGATGCTTCTAATAATATGTTCTTCAGCTCAAGAAGACATAATTGGAGGGAAGAAGAAAATATTTCAGATTTCCAAAAATCTGCACACTTCTTCAGATGTATTATAAGTCCTATAAGAATGAAACCTTTAGACCTTTGCCACAAAGTCCTTTCAGATATTTTGATCAGCTCCATCTCATGTCCCTAACAAAACAAAACTCAGCAATGTTTAGTAAAGACAGTAAACCTAAAGCTCGCGTAGCTAGTGATATTCTTTCTCTGTAGCTAGCCAATCATATTACTAGCAGATGTATCGATGGCTATAAATATTTGCGACATACCATAGTTTTGATGCTTGTTTGAAAAGTCATAAATGGCTTTTATAATGGCTCCACGCTTCATTGATTTCAAATGGCCCATATGTCTGCACACCAGAAGGAATAATCATCTCATTAGCCATTGTAACTCTTTTTATGTCTGAAGAAGAAACGGAAATCTATTTTGAGACGCCGAAATTTATAATCTCTGTTAACCATCCGCATAAGACTAGCAACAAGAAGAGAGCACTTTTTTTTCTTGCAAACTTGAAGTGCATGAAACTCTGTAATCAATAAGGAAAAACACTTCACACAAATGGTTGCATCAGTCTTATACTTTTGTGCAGTTCTATTAATAGTCACCTCCTTCATTAAGTTAACCAGTCATATCCTTAATTTCTTCCAACCAAATTATCTTGCGCCTAATTCTACTCCTTTCTCCATTAATTATAATCTTCTTGTTTCTAATTGGTGCAATTCACTTTGTAATGATTCAACCTACAGTAAGCAGGATTTCCAGTTTATTAGTTCCAAATGCATAAATGGAAAGTTGACCGAAGATGTCACAAGTAGGGAGGTAAAGAAAACATGAAGTTCACTGTATTTAACTCATTTTATATTTATATTTTTCTATACTAGGCCAAGCGGTCACTAGCGAAATAGTCCAATCACTAAAACAGTACGGCGATCCAAATTTGACTGAAATAGCTGACTCTAAAACACATGCATATCATCTAAGCAAGAAGCAGAGTCAGATTTATCTATGGCTTCTAGTCATTTGCAATATCACATTTTTATGAACCACCAAAGGCAAAGAAGGAGACTAGAAATTTGTTCCCTCGTTAAGAAAATGCATCATGCTGAGATGGATGGGAAAAATAATATAACTCATCAAATAATGATGCACCAAGCAAATTACCCAGTGTCACATAACATGTATTATAGAAGAAAACTTATGAGTCTCAACTGAGTAAGGGCACATGCACGCTTACTTGAATGAATATTGATAATCATGCAGAGCGCAGAAGCAAAGCTGCCTGGTAATTCAATAATTGACATTTCTGTGTAGAATCTGTTGCTCTTCCTTTAAGATACTTTCCCTTGGTATGTCGATTTGTCGAACTCTATGGTTTTCCCTTAGATGATTATTTTACTTTTACGTGCCGCAAATTACAATTATAAATGGTACTATCTCCCATCTTATTTTCTCAACATGATCTAAAGTTTTTGAAGAACCACATATGCTAGTGGATATCATAATGGGCGTACATGTGTTTCTAGAAGTGTTACTTCAAAGTTAATGTGCTTGTTGCATTCATCACTAACTAATGAGGTTATGCCAAGTCCAAATAAAAATTCGTTTTGATCCATTGATTACACAGTTCTAGAAAAATGTATCAGGTCTCTGAATTTACACGATGAATGGTGCAAGGTATCATTTCGGAGCCCTAATAATCTTTTAGCAATAAACCAAAACCAAGCTATAAGGGAGAAGAAAGGGAGCCCACATTACAAGTTGTTTTGCTTTTGTTTTCCTCAAATGCTGACGTCATATTTCCATCCACAAGAACCTTTCTTTATGAAAAGGATTTTTCTAATATCTGTCTCCCAGATATCAATAGTAAGAAATAGCTTCTATAGTTATTTGAAGGAAACTTACACAATCTCTGTGTAACGCATTCTCCATGCAGGAAATCCTAAATGGCATCTAGCAGGTCCATAAACAAGAAGTAGGTCAGGATCCGGTCCGTCAAAGCCTAAGATAAGGACACAAAGGAGAATAGAGCCAATATCAATAACAAGAGAGAAAAACATGTTATATCTAGTATATATCTTTCATATACAAGAAGAATCACACACCGACTGACTTCAAAGCAGCAGACATGTCAGCTTCTGTGAATGTTGGCTCTGCCTTATTGCAGCCTTCTGTATCACCTTTCAAATAATTGGAAAGTAGGAAGTTAGCAGCTTTAGCAGCTCCTGGTTTACAATCAGACGAAGAGAGCAACTCTATTGTTGTTTTTTCAAGACGAACACGTGTGATCACATTCTTCAAAGAAGTATCCTGTATTTGCAATGAATTATATGAGAATCACATATAAAAGCACTTTATACTGCTTGCTACGAAGTAAAATTCAAGAGATGGATCATAACTCACAGTGCATGGTTTAGCATTACAGCTGGAATTAGCCAAGCTAATCAGATAAGTCTCCAGAGATTGTTTCAGCACTCCTATATCATAGAAATAAAAAAATTGTGGAAGTAAACTTGAAGTGATATTGATTTTATTCTTTGGTCAAATTTGTATAAAAGGGATGTGCAAGTTTGCTTACCTTCCATGTCATACAACATTATATACTTTACACCGATATCTGATAACCAATGCAAAAGTTGTTTAACTTGTGTAGCGTTTTTAGCTTCTGCACTATCTATCACAACTGCCAAGTACTGAAGTTTATGTAATGGGAGCATTCGATACTTCTGCAGAAACTCTGATGAAATTATATAGCATTTCATAACTTGGATTAGATGTGACCCAGTGTGCATGATGCTGACCAATAGATGGAGTAGATACCAGCTTAATCCCAGAATAAATATGAAGATCCCGGATATGTGGAGTCTCTGCACAATTTAAGTACCAAAAGAAAAAATCACCCATTATAAGTGGCTTGACAATGAACTCAACATGGTGAATTTAACTAGGAAACAACCATGTAAATACGAAGAAAGGAGGGGAAAATATGTTCATTTACAGTCCTTAAGACTAATCTCATCACCAACCTAGAGACAAGGCTCTTTCAAACCACTTATAATCATGAATGGCCATATACAACTTTGGAATATGATTGGAACTGAGGTTCAAGTGAGAATCTGAACTTGTGCATTTTTTTAGAAGCATATGAAATGCAGGTTGACAACTTTCCACTATTGTTAGAGAATAAGAGTCAAATTTTGCTCAAGTGTCAAACTAAGATATTGCTAGATATGCAATAGCACAATTTAAGCTTTTCATGTGAAAGAAAAGCAACAGAATGTGATATAAAACAAACTAAAACCAAGTTTTGGTACTTCTTTGAATTTTATAGATATTTGGCATCAACCATGTTTAAATTCTTGGGCTATTGAGTCCAGTATCTTTGCTAGAAACAAGCAAAAACAAGAAAAGGAAAAAAAATCCATTTGCTTCTCTTGTTCTCATCACTTACCATATGCATTGCGTATTTCTTCTATTTGTAGTAAGATCATTGATGTTAGTGATCTCTGACTTCAATGTCGCTTCTAAAATTGAGGTAAGATCACTTTGTGTTGCTACATATTTGTTATTATTCTGTTATGATGTTTGACTACAAATAGCATTAGGCCAACTACCTAAATGAAAAACCACTTATTTACCTTTGCTTGTGTGAGCAGGAGGTTGGCTGGTATGGCTTTTTTTTTTTGGGAAAATAGTTTGGCTTTAATTTATTAGCTCACTACTTAATCAGCTTAAGTTTATGCATGAAATAATTTTAAAAAAAAAATTCATAATAATGGAGCAACCTACAAGTTCTTATTCCTACTGGCAAGCCCATCAGGTCAAATCTATGGTAATTCAAGCAGTCGTGACTGTAAAGCCACTATATAAATGATGTTAAATGTCAGTTTGATACCACCATACCACAATGAGCCGATTAAGGTCTTACATAATATTTTTCTTAAAAAAACATAGCGGGATAAGCATCAGCTTCATAAGAATTTAGTGGTAGCTTCAAACAAGAGTAAAATGAAGGTCACTTGACTGGATATATATTATCAAGAGCAACATGATGATAGTTGATGGCGTAAAAGGGTTAAAGTGTGAGCACGTGGGGGGACCACGTGATTAGATTGGCTAGGGAAAACAACCGCGTGAGGAGATGGAAGTTCACGTGAACAAGAATTCTTGTGCAAAGAAATTGTTTAGCGGACAAAAACAAGGCCCACCCGATTACCTACTTTCATATAAATACCAAGTCTTTTGCCCTAGGTCGGTGTGCAAGGTAAGGAATTAAGGGGAAAAGGAAAAACAAAAGGTTGCAGTGCAATTGAGGGCGTGTGCAGGAATCTTTTGCGGCTACAGTGCTGGAGGCAGAGCCGTCATT